TGACGCAAGAAACAAGGAATCACCGAAATGAGGGAAGTTGTGAGAAGTCAAGAATGACATCTGAGCTGTAAAGTTCACAGGTCTGGTGGTGGGAAGATGAGGACAGTCCCTTTGGGTGACTTCTAATTTCATAATAACTTATGTAACAAGACTGGCTAAGACGGGGGTGTTGAGGGTGTTGAGGGTGTTGAGAAATATCTGTCTCAGAGCATGGAAAGGAAAACTTGCTAAGGGAATAGAGAGGCCTGCCGGGCTGTGCTGAATGCAATTCTGAGCTTTGTGGTCATGCATTCAACGCTGCGGCTGTGCTGAAGCACGGATGTGTAGTGGGGCAGCTGGGTTTGGGGTTCTCCAGCCAAGCATGTTGGAGAGGGAGAGGCAAGGGAGTTGCTACAAGTGTTTGCACAAGACTGATGAGGATAATAATGGCTATGGAATCTTTGCTGTGGGGTAAGTGGGGACTGCACGCAGGAGCATCAGAAAGGAAAAACATAATGGTACTGATAACTGGACATCTCGATGAGAATGAGGAATTCTTGAAGAAAGGGTCCTAGGAGAGGAGGTGGGAGTCAGAGTGTGGGACATCAAGAATTCTGGTTACAGAAATTCCTACTGAGAAACCTAGGTCTCCCAGCTTGGGATGTGAGGAGGGGTACCCACGTGGAGAGGAAGGAAACCAGTTGTATGCAGGGGCCATTCAAATGAGGGCCAATATGGAGGATAATGAGAGTTACCCTGGGCCAAACCTGCATAGGCACTGAGGTTTCAATGGGGGCAAGAGAGACAAGGCTCCTGACCCTAAAAGATAACATCTAGTGCTCGAGATACTTTTGCCCTGAGAGCAAGTTTCAACCAAAGACACACACACCAAAAAATTCAATGTAAACAGCCTTTTGGACACACTTTACTTTAATAAACAAAACTACGTTCCTCAGAGTTAGTATCCACATTATTAAATCTCATATATGGATGGGCGTAATTTATAGAAGTTCCCCAAAATCAAGTTAGTTCTCAAATGAGAATGATTTGCCACAACCAAAGGTACCCCAAAATATATCCTTCAAGGTAAAAAGCAATTCCAAAAAAATTTTTCAAAAATGTTCCAAGTGACTCCAATAACATGGAAACAAGTAGCCAGCCCCTCAAGGTCACCTCTTTGGAGGAAGCAGAGGTTAACTGCTAAGTCCTTTTCTCTACTTTCACCCCATCTCAAATTCACATCCCCCCTACCCAAGACCTCACCCCAAGGGCTAGATTTGTACATCCAATCAACTGCCTGTGTGACATCTCCACGTGGACAGCTAAATGGCCTTCACATGCCCACCTCACACACACATACAAAATCCGTTCTGCCTCACACACAAAATCCGTTCCTTCCTGTCTACTCCACCTCGGATAATGATGACCCTATTCTTCCTGCCACCCAGGCCAAGAGCCTGTAGTCACTCACTGTCTCTCTCCCTTACACCCCATATCCAATCCGCTGAGAAATCCCACTGGCTCTACTTTTTAAGTATGACTGAATCTGCTCGTTTCTCACTACGTCCACTGTTAACACCATCATCAGGCTGTGACCACCTCTCGCCTACAAGGCCCCACTCGCCTTCCACCCTTGCCTAGCCTCAGCCTGCTCTCCACGCACACAGCCACCTCACCCCTCGACTTGCTCCAGTGGTTCTCCAAGTCCTGCCAGGCCCAGCAGGACCCAGCCACCACGGGCCCTCAGTGACCTCGTGTGCTACCTGTCCTTCTCATCCTGCCCTCTGGGCACACTGGCTCCTTCCTGGTCCCCAGACAACCAGCCATGTTCCATTTTGGGGTCTCTGCTGGTACCCATCTTTTCTACTGGAACACCTTTTCCCCAAACATCCTCATAGCTCACTCTCAGATCATCCTGACCATCTAAAGTAACAAGCCTGCTGCTTTGTCTTCACAGCACAGGGCACGAACATATTTTATTACACAACGTTTTTTATTTTCTTGATTGTCTGACTCACCAACTAGAAAGCAAACTTCAAGGGTCTTTGTTTCATTCACTGCTGCACCCCTAGCACCCATGACAATGAACAAATGAACTCTGAAAAGAACCAGTTACCAAAAAATAAAAATTAATTAAAAAATTAAAGAACCAGTTACCCTGTTTTATGGTTTTACTTTATATAAAATCCTTTCCCTTCTCCCTAACTGACCTCTTCCTTCAAGATGTCTCCTTTCCACATTCATAGAAGCTGCAGCCATGGTGTCCCAATCTCCCAAAATAAAGACTAGCAGTTTACCAAGCTGCTCCCTGCTCCCTTTCACCAATCATTCAATATACCCTCACAAAAGAACTGTCTTTGTTCAATAACCCTTAACTGGCTTCTAGAGTCACTGTTTCATTAGTAGGCCTCAGTTACCACATAAATGATGACCATCAAACTATAGCACAAACTGGTTGCCAATAAGACATGGGCTCTTGAAGCTTCTATTTGAGAACTGAATTCACTCCTTTGGTTTCTTCTTAAAATAAAAAAAAAAAAAATTAAAAAATTATATATAGGTATGTATGTATGTATATATATATATACACATATACCCATCAAGTTTGAAAAATAGGAACAAAAAAATGCCCATAACCTTTTTTTACTTCTTTTACTTCTTTACTTGTACTTATTTACTGTAGCAAATTTCTATCATTTTCATATTTTTTACATATATATATAATTTTGCAGTCAAAAACAGTGTATTACATAATTTTGTATTTTGCTTTTTCCACTTATCATTGTTAAGATTTTTCTCATGTTGCAGCACAGTTTCCTAACTACAGTTAATGGCTACAGAACAGTCTATCAAGAGGTTGAACCATAATCCAATTAATCATTCCCCTGTAATTATTATTTCTAGTTTTCCATTACTAGAAACAATAAAGCAAAGTACTCCTTTATGCATTTAGCTTTTTTCCTTCCATTGGATTATTTTATTAGGATAAAGTCCCAGATGTGAGATTACTGGGCTCAAGGGTAGAAATAGTTTGTTGACTCTTAACACCTAAAGCCATGCTGCTTTCCCAAAGAGGTGCCCCGCTCACATGCGATGGTAACACAGAAGTCACTCCCGACTCACCCTCTTCACGGCTCCTTCCCCAACGAGCTTCAGCTGCCTCACTTCTGTCCTCAGCTCCTCACAGGACAGCCATGGTGAGCAGTTTTTCATCTGTCCCATTCTGAAGTATCCATAGGGACAGTGACTGGGGTCCCCGGCAGAACGGCGAGGGGAAATGAAAAACTGATCAAGGCAGAGGTAGAGGAGCATGTTCATGAGGACCATGGCCAGCAGCAGCCCCACCACAGGGGGCAGTTCCCTGTGGGGTGGACTTTTTCTACCATCCTGGGGGTTCTTTTCCATGTTGTTATCCTCTGTAATTTCCTAAAATATAAAATGAAACAAGAAGTAATAACAATCAGTTTTTATTTCCATTAAGGTGTTTTGATGACAAAGGATTAAAGGTGACACACCCTCTATGCCTCTTATACTCAAGGATACTGTACACTGTAGTGTCATTGTGAGGAGGAAAGAAGGTATTGAATACTAGGCTCAAACTAAATGCTCAGTGTCAGCTGCTCTGATAATCATTATTTTGTATTACAAACCAGTCTGGGTTCATCTATTTTAGATTTAATTAGAAGGGAGGTGTCTGTGTGTGTGACTTTGTCTTTGACCCTCCCACAGTGTTCAAACTATGTAGATATTCAATGAAGAGGTGAATATAAAATATAAAATGAAATGATGTAAAATGAAAGCAAACTGTGGATCTATTAGACCAGTGGGGCCAGGGCAGAAGACAGACAAAGGAGAGCAACAGATTAGCTAGGGGTGTGGGTAGAGGCCAGAATGCTGAACCCAACTAACGAGTTGGGATGTTGCTTGGAAACTCAAAAGCTCTTTATGTTTTTAAGCAGCAAAGGCAGGTGTGAAAGTTCTATTTGGGGCAGAAGGGCCTGAGGCTGGGAGCATAGTTAGAAGGTCCTGGCAATGATCCGGAATAAGGGCTGAAGAGTATGTGAGCTAGAATAACGGTGGTGAGAATAGAGAGAGCATAACATAGAGGTGATCTTCACACTAAATAAACACCGATAAGGCATGGACGTTCACCAGTGGAATGGACTCGGGCTCTGGCACTGTCCGGTGTGCGGCCTGTGTTGAAGGTAGGCATTATAGCTTTAGCTGTTGGATGGTGGAGGGGATGGAAGGAAGAAGGCTGAGGAAGGACCCTGGACATGGGCAGTTTGACACTCAGAGTGCTAGAGGCAGAGGCTTTTTACGAACCAACTGGAAGCATATCAATACTTTGACAAGGGATATGGCCATAACAGTTTGTGCCAGCTGAATATCAGCACTGGGATGCATGGGGAACACCAGTGACAGAACTGACCCTGTGCTTCATGTGTCAGAGACGCCTATGACATGAAGCATTACCTTCCAGGTACACCTTCCTTTTACCAGCTCAGGTCTCTATCCAGACGCCTGGGTCTGTCAGTATTCTGCTTGGGCCTGGGCACTGGTTTGAAAGTACTCTGCCACAAAGTACCATAAAGGAGGTTTGTTAAATAAAAAATTGCAATTATTTATGTAGAAAAATGGCAATAGTCCAAATGGTCCACCTCCAAGGACTCCCCTTGTGCCTGGATGTCACTCAGGCTCCTGATCCCCAGGATGGTGCAGCAGCTGCAGGGAAGTCCTCCTGCAGCTCAGCCCCCACCACTGAAGCCCAGTCAGTTGTTTTCTGGGCTCAGAGCCCCTAGTATCCTCACCAGCCTTTCTTTGGTCCCAATCTGTTCCTTCTATCTCCATCATTCATCTTATATTAAGCAGCTGCTACATGCCCAGTCGTTCTCTAGGCACTAGGGATATGCGAGTAAATGAAACAGATGTAGTTCCTATTCTCTTGGAGCTTATGGAGAAGCCTAGTGGGGAAGACAGACAATAAACAGGTAAACAAAAGTTTATCATTATATATTGATGAGGGTTCAAGGATAGAGAATAACAAAAAGGAAGTTCTCTGGATGAAGCAGTCCCAGAAGATTTCTCTGAGGATGTGACATTCACACTGAGTCTAGAAACCAGAGAGAAAGCAGCCACAAAAAAAAAAAAAAAAATTCAGGAAAAGACAACTCTTTCATACCTTCTGCTGGAAAAAGTCCAATCCACCTGCCATTCATCGAGCTGGAACAAAAGACACCGATCAAGCCACCTGCAAAGTTAACAGGAAACAGCACTTCTCTTGAGGACACACTGCAGCTGTAGTGTCAAACAACCCCCTTCTTTGAATGACTGCTGTCTCACTCACTCAGAAACTTTGTTCTCTGAATCACCAGAAACTTTGCAACTCAAAGTCCTATCAAGTTTGACCTGAGGTCAGGTCAAACTTTTTTCTGTAAAGGGTCAGATAGTAATTATTTAGGTTTAAGATAGGTTTGGGGGCCAAAAGTTGAAATTGAGTTGATAACCACATAATTGTGACTTGTGGTGCAAGGAGCAGAAGTGAAAAATGTAAGAGGCTACGTATTGTCTGCCACAGTTATTCGACTGTCACCAGAATGTGAAAACAGCCCCAAACACTACATAAACAAATAAGCATGGCTTCATTCTAATAAAATTTTATTTACAGACAATGAGATTTGAATTTTATATAGTTTTCATGTGTCACAAGACTATTCTTTTGATTTCCTCCACCCCCAACATTTAAAAAGATAAAAATCATTCTTAGCTCACAGGCTACAGAAAAAAAAGTTGGCCAAGCCCTGATACTATACCTCTGGGTCTGTTGCAGGCCATATTTCCATTCTATGCATTCCCTCTATGTAATCTCATCCATGAACATGGCTTTCATGGCAATGTAAACGCTGATTTCCAAGTCTCTACTTGTGGCCCAGATCTTTCCCCTATACTTCACTCAGCTGGCTCTTCAAGGTCTGGGACATGTCTCTCCTATCCCCAGCCCCTTCCTCCTGGGTTCCTTCTCTGTGACAGGCACATGACCCACCTGCTCACTCAAGTCACAAAACCTCCATCCCCTAACCTCTAAACCAATCAATCATCACGTACAGTCAATTCTATCACCCAAATCTCTGTCAGATCTATTCACCTCTCCCTTCTTGGTATCCCAGCACGGTCTAAACCACCAGAATCTTCCGTGGGCTTCTGCAACAGTTTCCTACATGGTCTCCCACTTTCTTTTCCAATGCATTCTCTGCGCAGCAAATGGGATCTTTTTTTCTTTCCTGAAATGTGTCAAGCACAGAGAAAACTAAAAAATAAGATCATGAATATCCATTCGGTTTTGTCAAGTAACACTGCATCATACATTTTAAAGATCTTTTTTAACGATATAAAATATTATATATATATAGTTGAAGCCCCTTTGGATCATTCCTAGTCCTATTTCACAAGTTGGTGTATGTCGTAATGGTCAAACTGTGGTCCCTGGACCTGCAGCAGTAGAGTCATCTGGGAACTTGTGAGAAATGCAATTTCTTGAGTACTCACTCCAGACATATTGAATCAGAAACTGTGAGGTGGGGCCCAGAAATCTGTATTTTGACAAGTCCTCCTGGTGATTCGGAAGCATGCTAAAGTTTGAGAATCACTGGTGCATATAACTCCATATGTGCATATTTATTTTCACCATGAGCCCATCTCTTAAAGAAGGCTATAGCCAACCTCGACATCCAGCGGGCTTTTTTTCTTTTAAAGGTATATTTCTAACGTAGGCTGCCCAGAGCTCAGGATAAGGCTGTGTGGGCAAAGAAACCTTGCCCGGAAATAAGCAAAAAGATACTAAAAGTTCACCTGAAAATTATATGTTACCCCAATAAACTTTTTAAAAAAGACACTAAAAGTTACTTGTTCTTAAAAAAACCGGGCAAGTTAAGGAATAAAGATTGTAGTGACCATTAGTTGGGTAGGAGAAATTCAGGCACTGTGTAGACACAAAGGATTGCTAACATTGATAGGAAAAAGTTGGTAAACCAGGAAAAAAATTGAGAGCCACTGCTCTACACTCATGGCTTAACTAAAAAAAAAAAAAAAAAAAAAAAGACAAGAAAAGCAATGGAACATAATTAGTGTTTTATCAATTTACAAAATATTGTATACAACCATAGAAGAAACGAATTAGCGTCAATAAAATTTAAGAGTAGAATCCTGTTCTGCCAATAAAACGTAAGTTACATTAAAATAATTATTTTAAATATTCCAGATCCTGACGTAGCCTTAAGGTTCTATAGTAAAGGCAAAGGACGGAGAAGACAACATTACTAAATAAAACAGCTAATTCTTCCTTTCCAAAAAGAGCAGCATACGTTTACACCTAACACAAAGCTTGCACCTAGAGGCTGCTAGCAGTGCGGGCACGAATAAAGCCGGGGCGAAGGGGCTGAAGCCTGACTTTTCATGTCCCTCTCGCACGCCAGGCAGGACGCAGAAAGGGCTGCACAGGTGGGCACTAGCTGCCCCGCGACAACGTGGCCACCGGCTGGACTCCCAGCAAGCCGCCCAATAAATAGGCATGGAGCAGCTGCTCTAACTTAGGAAGCAGGCCCGGGCAGGGACGGGCCCCGAAGGAGGCTGAGCTGCCCTCCGCACCTGCCTACACTACGGCCCCGATCTACCCCGTGGCGCACCCAACTATTTCTCTTCCTGCTAACCGCACAACGGGACCCAACCCGCCGCGCCTACCTGCAGCCCCTGGCCGGACTTGCAGCCTTCCACGCCTGCGCGACCGGAAACGAGCTGCTGAAAGACCAGCTTGAGGCTGCCCCCTCGTGTCCGCCGCCCTCAGCGCACCTGGAGGCCGGGCGCTACAGGGCAAAGCCGGAGTTTGAGCGCATCGCGGATTCCAACTCAGGTGCACAGATCGGTCAGTTTTATATTCTGACTTCTTTCAGAGCGTGTGAGGACGATGATATGTTGACCTATTATTGTTTTAGCCTGGAAGCTCAGGCTTGGGCTGGGTACAGTGGAGAGATGCTTAACATCCAGACCCTTCAAAAAGCTCCCAGTCAGGACAAAGCAGGGATTTCCAAAGGCTGGTCCTCAGACCAGATGCTGATGCTTCACATTGCCAGAGAAACTGTTAGACGTGAACGTTCTCGGCTACATCCCAGATTTGGGGGCGGTGGCGGGGCGGGGAGGGGGG